GAGAGAAAATAGAGAGATGAAAGGACACAACCAACCAAATGTGTGTTGCTATCTGCAAAGCTGTCCTATGCTACACTCAGTGACTCACCCTATAGCTACAGGGGTTTTTTTCATCCATTTGTTTGCTTACTAAATTATTTTAGTACTGTTATTATTATATTGGTTATTCATTGCTTGAAAATATTGCGATGTCGTTACGGAACCATTCTGTCGGGATTTATAACCGTTAGATCATCATGTAACCGTCGGGATAGTTGATCTAACGGTTACGAACTTCGACGTAATGGTTCCGTAACGGGACTGTAGCATTTTTCCTTTTATATTTGCTTCATCTTCTTTTTTTTTTCTTTTTTTGTTAATTTAATTTTGAGAGTCATGGTGTACGTGTTGGCAAGTTGTCGTTTTTCGCAATTTTATTTTCGGTGAAATTACATCAGACATTACTGTACAGTACTCGACCGCCTCTGTCTCTCTCAGAACTAATCACAAGTAGACAGAGGATTTAATTATCTTAATAATGACAGTAATGAAGGATTTGTGTCTCAAGGTTAAAGCAGTGATAATAAGTATATAACACAAGAATCATGCTATGCAGTAAACACAAAATAGAATAATAGATATGAAGATTTACATAATTACACATGATGGTATTATTATTTTACATATCACATCACTTTTAAAATCTAACAACTATTTGACACACATATCATTTTTGTTCATCCATTATGTTAAATAATTGTTTCAATGTAGCTTTATTCATAACCCGATTACACATGTGATCCATCATACTTGTTGACATCCGAGTTGATTTGGGTGGATCGAGAATTAAATACGGTTGTTACATGATGAAATACTCGAGTCGAACACTCGGGTCGGGGAATCGTGTGTGATAGTAAACTCCGGAAGCACGAAACACCTGCATGTCGAGCAAACAACAAACAGAGTGCACCAGTCGGGTGACCATAAGTGCAAGTACGACCTGGAAACTACCAATCTGTAGAACTGAGCTCAGTACTACCATAAAATACGCTGAGAGTTAGAACTGACGATCCGAGTTAAGTGCAATAAGGTGACAGATAATACAAAAATAAAGGCAACTTGTAGTCAAATAATGAGAAATGGGGAACGCCCCCCAATAGCCTGCTAGCCTATGTGCCATAGCCTCATAGGGTCATGTGCAGTATTTAATGCGTGTCATTTATTAATGCTCGATTGTACTGCCCGAAGGTCACTCTTACTATAAATAGTCCTAAGAATCCATTGTAAAAGGGTTTAGAAAAAATCATGTACGCAAAACAAGTATTCTCTCTGTAATTACAACATTCAATACGAGCACCTGGGCTCAATTGCAAAATATCCAACCTCAATATCCCTTATTTTCAGCATAATTTTGGATCTTATGCCTAACCTAAACAGTTTAATTACTCTAGTGCAAACACTAATCTATTGTTTTGGGTTAATCAAATGTGTTGGTCAACACTCAGCAGTTTGACGCTAGAAAGAGGGTCTCATATTGTTTGAGGTTACTATTCGACAAAAAAACACCACATCCACGATCAATAACACGACTCTCGAAACAACTTACGAAGATGTCATCATCTGGCAAAAAAAAAGCAGAGTCTTAGCTTCAAACAACTGAGCAACCACGTATAGCGGCCCCCGCCATTGACTTCACGATGATGTTATAAAACTCGAAATTTCTTAAGGGTATGGCGAGCCTCATGACGCAAGCTACGCTATCAGCGTCACACACACCGCCGGCACCGACGAAGATTGACATGCTAAAGACTCCGGCAGAAAAAGACATTAATCCTGCTGGAGATAATGGCAAGAAACCAGCCCATTATAAGGCCGCGACTCAGCCTCCGGACGGTGCGACCAAATATCGGGAAAAGATGACCGTTGTCCCAACACGGACGAAGGAGACTGGGGAGAGTCGGTCAATGAATAAACACAAGAAAAATTTCCCAACCCTTTGGTCTTTACCTGACTGGGGAAAAAAGAGGCGGATCAGTACCTTAGGCAGAAAATCCTGAGGGATAGGTTGACCAAGTCAACGTGAAAGGGCATGGAAGGGCATTGGCTAGCATGGAGGGGCATGGAGGGGCATTGGCTGACATATGTGTCAACAAAAATGGTCAAACTAATATAAACCATTGAGGACATGGAGAGGCATTTGCTGGCATGTGGGGCAGTTCGTCTGCTAAGGAGAAGTTGACAATAAAAACATTAAAGAAGGCTTCATTTTCTACTCAGGAGTATAACAAGTTATCGACCCATGAAATTGGTCCGGGTGGGATTGTGGAGCATATGAAGACAATAGTGCGTCGCATTCGAATCCTTTTCGAAATTGGGAGAATGATGGAGATGAGGACAAACATGAACTTTGAAATCTTTAAATTAATTATTTATACTTTTTATTTATTGTTATTATTTTAGTCCTATATATGTTAGTGAATTTATTTAACTATTCTATTATTTTATTTTGTAGGAAGGATATTTAATTATCCTTTACTTCTTATACAAAATTATGGCTTTTTAGGAGTTTTATTTAAAAAATCATATTCTCTTGTGTTTTAATTGGTTAAATTTGATTAATAAAAATGTTTGAGAGTCTTTCTCTTATTTTATATCTTTTGTTACTTTTTCGCTACGTCAATTTGATTCTTCTGTGTGGGAGTTAAGTTTGTTTTGTTTTTGGTGTTGTGTGTATAGTTTAGAATTTCGGCTACCCTTTGCAACTCTTTTAGATTCATTTTTTGTAATTGTTGTTATTATGTTATGTTAGTTGATTTCTAGTTTTTAATTTTTTATTTATAATACATCTATCATTTTGAAAAAAAAAAATGGTTATACTTTCCATAGAACATTTGGGTGTTTGAGAGACAATGACAATTGAAGGATTGGATCATCAAGGCAACAATGAGGGACTGGTTAGACTTGTCAGAGAACAACTCTAGAACATAACAATATATGCATGTCCTCTCAGTTACCCAGGATGGGGTTTTCCCAATGTACATTACAATTTTTATGATTTTTTATTAATGGAGTTTTTATGTCGTTGGTAAAAAAAAAAAAAAATGGTACAATTAATAAGAACAAAACAAACAAGTGGATTGGCACATAGCACCTCCAATTGCATTTGCTCAAAATGGGCAATTTAATAATGAAAGTTGGGCTTTTTAACAACTTGGTTTGATCAATTGGGCCACAACTCCACATACCTTTAATCCAATTACAAAAGGACTAATACTAACATTTTATTTAATTATTAATTATTAATGTCTGACAATATTATAAGTCATTTTCTAAAGTTGGTTTCTAGGTGCCTTTCCCTATCAAATATTTTATTTTTCTAAAGATTATTTTTTAAAAATATATATTATTTATTAATTCTATTTCTTTCCAATTTAATTTTAATTATATAACTAGTAGGCACGACTTTAATAGTGCTAATTAAAAATATTTGATTTTTATTAAAGAAAAAAATGTTTTAAATTTCAAATATTTCATGAAAAGTTCACTACAAATTATAGTTAAAATTACAGTCTCCACTTGACTTATCCATTTTATATTATAAATTTTCTTAAATTTTTATTATATGATGAGCTTGATAAATATTATATTAGTTTCAATAAATATCGACAGATAATTTATATTTTACTATAATGATAAATATAATTATCATTTATATATGCAATATGCATGCCAATCACTATTCTTCTATATATGTTTAATTTAACATATCATATATGAAAATTTGGTATAAATGCAAAAATTATTAACTTTTGACATGTATTTATAATTTAACTTAATTAAGTGTTTCATAATTTAAAAAATATACATTATAAAAGTTAATGTCTGTATAAAGTACTGATCGCTCTGACACATAAAAAAAAAAATTATTATTAAGTATGGTGTAACTTTTCAAAACGACACTTATTAATAAAAAAAAAAAGGTGAGAGTACAATATATAAAACACCTAGCTTAAATTCTAGCAATTACTACTTATTATTATTACTTCTATAAATTATGTAACTATTGTCACAGTCAACCACACTTCCAAACATTGATATAAGAAAACATATTTTATTTCTAACTCAAACTAATTAATTTAGCTTGTAACGAACCCCAAAACCCCCTAAGGGTATGTTTGGTTCAACGGAGGGGAGGGGAGGGGAGGGATTTTAATGGAAGGAAGGGGAGGGGAGGGGAGGTGATGTAAAATAATTTT